GAAAGATTTAATACATTGTGACTTATAATATATAGAACAATTATTAAGTTAGAACTAATGACTAAATTAAATTGTGAAGTAGTTAATAATCGCTGGCGATCTTATGTATTTAATACAATAAGCATTCATTCCAACACTTTCCCAGGCCGACAGCAAAATGTTCTGTCACACAAACTTTCATTGCATTTACGATACTTAAATAAATTAATATTTCATTAATGAAGTTTATTAAGCTTGTTCTAAGATCTGCTTACAGCATCGACAGTGGCGTCTTTAAAGGAGCAGCTGCTAATTTAAATTATGTATATTTTATAATACTTTATTTTAACATTGTCGAAGCTTTGATGACATGAAATTTCTAAAAATGAAATTATAACTAGATATATTGTATATAATTTATAGCTTTTCATAAAAGTAAAATATTTTCTCTTCCATTGTGTTCTAACTAATTTGATAAATGTTCTTTTTTTTTGTTCTTACAATTTTTCTATTGTATTGTTCCTTATTGGTACTATAAATTCAGTGGTATTGTCGCCTTGTACATTAATCACGATTCATTTATTATTTATTCTTCCTTAACGGTAGAAAAAAGTACATACTACTATTCGGTGTCATTAGGGGCGGATTTGTACCAAACTTTTGTAATCTTTTATATTTTGTTGCTGTTCTAAAAAAATTGATATTATTTTAAGTAGTTACTAAAATTATCAGCCTAAAAGTTATAAAGTATTATAAATTCGCCTCTGATTGTTCTAGTACTGTGATCATAAAGTACACTACAATTAGTTTGTCCATCTGTTATGATGTACTGAGGTACTATAAACTATGAAATAATATACTGCAAAATTTCTCGAATATAAAACAGAATATGTAATGGAATTATATTCCATATAAATGTATGTATATTACAAAGTTTGTGCTGTACAATATGCAAGTATTGTGTGGGAATGTCATTGCTTTTTATTTAGTAATTATGTTTCATTAATTGATACAAGTACAGGTACACTCGCCATCTACACAATTCACAGTATTCAATAAAAAAAAATATTACCTAAACATTGATAAAGAAGTATGTGAATTGCAGAATGTAATGCAATATGATGTAACATCCTTCTTCCGATGAGTATACACGAATAAATGTGTTATCAAGAAGGTGTATTTAATTACATACGCATCTCGAATATAAACAAACGGTTAATCTCGCTTCGTTTGCGTTTTCAATTGATCATCGAAATATGCACGATATATAAAAGCTCCCAGAGCTACGTGTAACACAAGAATTGCAACACCAGCTGAATATACATTGCTTGGCACATTATTAAGTCCCAATAAACCTAAAATGTACAAAAATACGTTTAAAACATCGATGTCAAAATTATGTTCATAAATACGTGTATATCTTCAATATATAATATGATAATCAAAAGTATATGTGTTACTCTATCGAGTACTTTATAGTATATATATATATGTTACATTCCAATTCATTGTTATTAATGTATATGAAAGACACAAAGTATTTGGTCACTAGATTAAAAGCAAGAATAGAAAATGTTTTCAAATGACAAAGTGCACTATTTACAATTAATTTTCATGTAAATATAAACAAACTATTTTATCCTTTA